TCTTCCATCGCGTTTAGACAGCACTAAACACGGTTTGTGAAGCTACGCTTCAGCAACGTGCCAACAGCGTACACTACGCTCCGATCAGGGGCACGATGCCGACCTTGAGTCTCGAGTATCTAACAGATTCGAGCCACGAAACAAGAATAACCATTATAATTGTATCCCAAAGACTAAGCAAAAACGAGATTTCCAGATCGAAAAGATGTTTGTGCAGCTATAGCGTGCATTTGGGCCATTCGCCCCTAGCGCGTTTAGCTTGGCTTGTTCTTGGTCAAATATTGACTCGGCACGTAGCCAGGCACCAGCTTCTCCGCGCCTTCCAGCAGAACTGTGCAAGGGCAAGGTGAGTCTAATCCGGCAAAGCATATAGGAATCTTATGACATACCAACAACCATGCCAGTCGCCAAGTGAGCATCGATATGGCAGTGCATGATCCATGGCCCGGGGTCGGAAGCCAGGAAACGCATCGCCGCCCAAGCCTTACCGGACATGTCAACAGGCTATGGGATATATCAGTATAGATGCAGCTGGCGAGAGAACTGAACACTCACAGTGACAAAATCGTCACGGAAAGGCGGGTTCTTCATGTTGATGCCCTTGTACCCGGCGTTGACAGCGTCTTGGATCGTCGCATATGGGAAGACACCAGTGCCGGAGCCAAGGAACCAGCCCTTGACGCCGTGCTTGTGCATCTGCGGTAAATGCGAACGTCAGGAAGCCATATAGGCGCGCATACATGATGGACGAACCGGGTGAGGAGGGTGGATGGCAGGGTTTCCAGCAGTGATAGTAAAGATGACGTCCACAAGTGTGCCGTTTTTGTACGACATATATACTTTAGAGTCGAGGGAAGAAACCTCACTAGGCTGGAAGAGCAACGGAGTGAAGTTGTCCGGGGGATCGGCCCAGCTGTTGCCTGTGCTCAGAGCCGTTAGGTTTCAAGTGCTTCGCAATGATAGAAGTAATCCGTACCATTGAGTACCCATCCGAACTCGCCAGTACGAGTGACGTTCATTGGCAGAGTGAGGTCAGCCTTGCCCTGAGGCGGTGGGTTGGCAGGGTATGGCGCAAGGTTGGCTGGAACCAGATCGACACCGCCATTGATGATGTTGCCGGCATAATCGATCCAGGCGTTCTTGGTTGCAGGCAGCATCTTTGGGTCAGCCTTCGCAGTGTTATATGACAGGATCGAGTAGCCGGTGAGAATTTGCGGGAACACCACTGCTGCAGTGCGGATAACATAGTCTCCGGCCGGCTGATCGAGCTTGACGAAGAACTGGTACCGCTCGCCGATAGGAATAAGGATCGAGGTAGCAGTCTGAATGTTAGTATACTCTCCATCAGCAGCGACTACAGATGTTTGGATCAGTAAAGGCGTGGCTATTCCCGGGAGGCAAAGTGCTTACAGAAGTACATCTTGTGAGAGTCGATCGAAACACGCAAGTCCCAAAGAGCGCCGCTGTTCTGTTTCACCAGCTTTAGTAATCGCCGTCAGTTAAGAGATTATATCAAAACCTACCAGCAAGTTGAAGGCGACCCAGCCATCGGACTGCTTGACCGTGAACACCTTAAATGGGGTGCTCGAGTTGGCGCAGTTGTACCACATATCGGCGCTGACTGTGCTTGGCTTCGAGTCGGAGTATGGGAACATGAGCGTGTTGTTCGGATACATGCATCTACCATTCCACGACGTCAGACGACATAATGACTATGCCATCGAAGCGACTCACCCTTTGTTTGTCATTGGCTTCTGGTCAGAGGTAGCGAGCGAGTTGACTACTGCCATATTGGGGCACACGACTTGACCCATCCCGCTAGCTGTTTCAGGTCATCAGTATCGAAAATCGGTTAAAAATACCACAAGACCTACTAATGATGTTATCAATACACAACTGTTCGACGTCGGTACGCTCCCATTCTGACATCCAGTGGTCGGATGTATAGTGCTTGTAGTCGTACACGTTCAAGAGGTTCGCGTTGACCTCTGCGTTGTTCAGAGTCGTCAGAACGGCGCTGTCCGTGCTGATCTGGCTGAACGGCTTCGCCTTGCCGGCTTTCGGGCGAATGTAGAGCGTGCCCTTGAGACCGTCGTCCAGTTGCATTTTCTGTCGAATTCCCGATCAAACCTCTGACTACTAGTTGAACAGTTCGACCACTCACATAGTGCGAGTGATACCAGTGGAATCCAGATTGGAAGAGTGTGAAGTTGTACAGGAAGTTCCCGCCCGCTGGGATCGGATACTGCATGAGCCCGGGCACACCATCGGACCAAGGCGTGCCCTTCTGCTCGATGCTGCAAAGACAAGCGGTCAGAGCGGGTGGAATGCTCGAATATAGCCGGTGTGCTCACCCGTGCCAGTGCATAGTCATTGGTTCGGGTCCGTTGTTGATGACAGTCGCCAAAACAGTGTCCCCCTCGTCCCAGACCAAGTGAGGTCCAGGGGATGTGCCGTTGATCAACCACGATGGCTTGCTAGTACCGTCTTGATTGGTTGTGCCATACGTGAGCTAGGAGCGGACTATAAGGTAATGTCCTAGCGCAGACCAAGTTGCTACATACCACAAGAGTCACACTTTTGACTGCAGCTTGTGCCGTAGGAAGCAGAGCCCCCGCAAGCAGCAGGGAAAGGCTGCGAAGATGCATTTGAGATGTCGAGAGATGCCTTTGAGTGAAGAAGAGGCTGAGTGATGGTGCGACACAAGCCCGCGCGCTGAACATTTATACGCGTCGCTGGCCAAGTGTTTTTCCATTGCTGGCTACGCTGAGCAAATAATGCGACCGTGGAGGCGCTCATTCAGCGGATTCATACCAAAGATAGTAGCCGTGCGGGCTCACAGCCTTGCCGTCTCATGAGCTCGCCTCGGGTTTCCTGAACTCGGCAAGGGCCTCCGGGACCGCGCAACGACGGATACCTGCTTTAGTAGCCGATATTTGAAGCCATGATAGCCAGGACGTGATGGGTTTATGTCGTCATCTCGAGTATCTTCCATTGAGTTTTGTCACAGACGCAAGACTGTTTCTCAGAGGCATGACAAACTTTGCTCGGACGACTCTATTGTTTACCCACTTTCGCAATATTGAAATTATAAATTTTGCCTAGAGTAGGGCGGATGCATCCGGCAACGAGTCAACTAAGCGAGGTGAGTTTTGTGTTTGGTAGGCCGCGAACTGGGTCATGGTACGATCAAAGAGAAGCAAGAGATCATCAAAGGCGCTTAGCTCGGCCAAGGACCTTCTAATAATAACCCGCCTATGGCAACTCATCTCATGTGCTACCACCACCACCAACTGTGCCAGAGATCTCAGTTTGATGTAAAATCTACTGTTTCGCTGGGTTATTTGCTCTGCAGCCTGATATTATGATCGCGTTGAAGTTGTGAAATAGTCAACCATCAGCTTGACCCGCACGGCCATTCTCACACTAGCAAGGTAATTTGATAAATGTTCACGAAAGCACGTACTATTGAAGGGTAACTTATTCGCCCGCACTGTACCGGGCTTGGCGGCCCCGAAAATGGCCCGTTAGTGTGTGCCCAGCGGAAGTGGAATGCCGCGTGTTCTCCGGTACGTCAGTCCTCTGCAGCTCATGGGCTCATTCGTTCTAAAGCATCTGCCGCTGTAAGAAATGTCGATATTGAAGCATACAAACAATTGACCAAACCCATTAACACGTACGTCCAAACTCCAAGGAGACGAGTCCTATAGACAATTCATTACCCCCAAGACCCGCGTCCATAGCTTTGGAATAAACAGTCAGAGGCGAGCAAGTAATAGGCTGATAAACGAAGCAGAATAACTCAGTTTGTGCCTTGAATTCTATATTCTGGAACTAGACTTTCGGTACCTAGCGCACATGGCGAGTTCCAGGCAATAAGCCGCATATTTCACATATCCTCAGCCTCAGTCTCCGGTATCACCATTCCGGCCTACAAGCCAGACAATTCGGGCACCATATTCCGGAACGCGTGCGCTTAATGAGCTGTACGCACATTCTCCAACAATGTCATGGCCTCTTGGTAGTAGTAGAGGCTGCCTTCACGAAAAACAAAACAAAAGGATGCTCACTGGGACGTCATGATTGTTTGGGCCAAGCATCAAAAAACGCTTCTCACAGATCGCCGGCTTCCCTATTGATTTCCATATCAGTGCCTGAGACCGGGTTTAGCTCATATGAAGTCTCCCCTCAATTCTGATCGCCGTATCGTTGCCGCATATACCTTATATGGACAAGTTGAACAAAGATCAGAATCAAGGTGGCTGTTGTCGCTTAGAATAGCCCGGTTCTCACGTTTCTTGGGTTTGTAACTTGGCTCGGCTCCCACTCTCCGAACTTGGTGTCACACGAACCGTCGGCTCCGACCGCATGTCAGTTCCACGCGAATCCGACAGTCTTATGACTGTTCCATGTCCACTCAATGACAGTGGTAGGCAAAGTAGGAGCTGAGAAACGAGCCTTGGCGATTTTTCCTTAGCCGCCGTCCTATGTCCTCGGCCGAAGCGAGGAGATTTGATGCCTGCACGTAAAACAAGTCGGTTAGAGTAGTACCAAGACGTACCTTGCCGTAACCATGTGGTTCAGTTGTTTGGAATCAGATATATGAGTCGCTGCGCCGCAACCATCATCAGAATCCTATAAACGAACGTGTCATTCAATATGGCTGACGCCATAGGACATATTCAGCGCACCAAATGCCTCATTTGCGTTAGTCGAAAAGTCCAGGCCACACACCAGAGGCTGAAGGTCAATAACCTCCTCGGCTCCTACACGATACGATCCGGTAAACTAGGCCTGCTTCCATGTTACCGGAGCAAGAATCCCTCAGAATGTTGTTAGCTCGCTGTAAATGCAGCGCCCCCAAGCCTCTCGCAGAGGCAAAGCTAGCTTGGCGGTTTGTTTCAAATGGTTCAGTGTTCAAGGTATGTGGTATAACCGAATCAGATGCAGCAGCCACTAGTGTGGTGTAGACCGAGCAGCAAAACGAAAATAATAGTGAATGGACAAGTCCGGATTTGAACCGGAGACCTCTCGCAGCTTCGAAAGGAAGATGCTAAGCGAGCGCGCTACCAACTGCGCTACATGCCCTTGGGGTTACTCGTGGCTGTGCTCATTACTATCCATTCCAAATGTGTTGGGTGTAGTTTATTCTCTGTACTGTCCGGTGAACTCATTTCGATAGAAAGATGTGTATCTTTTAACACAATGGGGTCAAATTTTGTGTTAACGGTATGTTTGATGGTCGGATGCAGAAAGAATTCGACAATAGGTGCCATGGCACCGTGCCTTCGATGCGATGCACGGCTAACGACTTTACATCAATGGATATATGCTATACAATATCCCGCAGATTAAACGAGCGCCCGAAGGAGACAGAATAGTAGTTCACATTATCAGAGGGTAAAGTAAAGTACTCGTGAGCTTAGATGAGCTAGGTTCAAGACCGCCTTCTCCTACTCGTTTTCTGAGCAAATTGCGTGAAGTCATCATACCTATCTATAGATGCCTTTCGTGTTGGACCATCAAACGTGCTTAAAATGCTCGGACTGGTTCGGCTGGGGTGAAAGCCCCACAATAGTCCAAATGAATTATTGTATTACTGTGGCTTTCTTTACCGCTGGGTGTTTTTTCGTCTCGCCTCTCGCCTTCTCACCTTGCCCCTCTTCTCTATTGCTTCACGCCTGCCATATCCTTTCCTCCCGAGTGATTTGAACTTCTTTGAATGCGGTTCGTTAGATATGTTTTTATTTTCTGAAAAATCTGGGTCACATGTCCTGTAATATGCTATTGCCGAGAATCATCTGCCCGTTTCAACTCGATCTGTGATAGCCCTAAGGTTTGATATTTGAGGGGTCTTGTGATATTTTAATCTCACTCAAATGCCAATTTTTGGCATAAAAATCGCATCATCAAAGAGTAAGTACAAGTGGCAATCGCAGCCAGTGATCCAGACTACCGCCAAGTTACAGACGATGCGCAGAAAGCCAAGAATGATACATCGCACGAATACAGTAGAAAAATTAAGAAGGAAAAAATGAGTAAAATGGTAGCCGAACTAAGGCTCGTAGTCCATGAGGCAGTCGAACAGGAAACGAGCAGGTCCAGAAGCCGGTTGAGGCTCGGGCTCGTCCGGATCGGTGTCTTCGAGGAATAGCGCGGCGAGAAGGGCACAGCCAAACAAAGGCAGCTCTCCTTCACAGCCGAGAGTACCAATGGCGATCTCTGGGGGAGAGAGGTCGGGTCCTGTGCGCCGAGCCGAGTCGTTCGATAGATTGGGGTTGTCGCATAGAAGCGGTGGGCGCAGCGTGTACTGGCATACGATCTTCGAGGACAGTATGCGGGCTCCATGAGACACTGCACAGCAATGTCAGCGCGTCGAGGGGCTGAAAAGACGAGGGCACTCACGGGACGTAAGTCACTGCCGAGGTGATGTACGTGTGCGCATCATAGAGAGCAGCGTCTAGTACACCGAGAGTTATAGCAGACTTATAGCTCGTGATATGCACGAGAGCAAAAAGCGTTACGAGGCGGAAAGACAACATGATTGGGTTGGAGAAAAGAGTCAGGCGATCGAGGGATATATGTTTTTGTGGCGGTTTGTATCCGGTCGGGTGGGGGGCGGGGGAGGGACCCCAGTGGCCGATCATCTGGAAAAGGGGGGTCAGACATCGGAGTGTGCAGCATAAACCACAGAGGGCGGGGTGTATTTGGGAAAGAAGGTGAGTTGGGTCACGTGGAAAACAGGGGTGATCGGCAACGGCGATCGAAGGCTTCTAATGCCAAGACCGCCTACCCCTATCATCAGCCATGCGGGGATTCTGCAGAGATCATAAGGCCCCATTCAGACGGACTTCATACAAATCCAAGGCAGTAGCGCAATTTTCGTCTAAAATTTTATAAGTTTCGCAAGTGCGGCGCAAGTGACGACTTTTTGTTTTGTTTTGAAAATACATATTTATCGAGCTACGTGAACGCCAGGTCAAACAGCTCGGGAGAGAGAGAATGAGACAGCCCACGTGACGACTTCGTATGGTTGAAACGGTATCCAACGTGCCGCATTGGTGTTTCCCTTCAACTCGAGCGGGCGATCCGATTTGAGTAGGGCGAAAACAATTCGACAATAGCTTGAGGGTTGTTACTGGCTGCACCTCTGGGCCCAAAAGGCGGGCGTGCGTTACATTGCTTCCCGAGCACCGTAAGTAAGACGAAGCATATGCTATATATGCCTCTATGTGAGGGCAGCCGATGGCAGGCTGACATACGTCCAAAGAGACGGTGGCCAAATCCTCTCGGGACCGATTGATAGTAGCTAACATAATGGCGAACGGGATGCAAGGTTGTTCGGGATTCGTGCAAGGATCAGAAGCGGGGGACTTGGAGGATGCGTCGATGTGATCCGTAGTGTAGGCAACGAGTTCTGGATGGAGTCGGTTTAAGGCACAAGTTTTGTCTGTGTGTTGAGTACCTTGGCCAAATGAGTTTGCCTTGTACGGATTTGAACGCAATATTCGTCTACAGTAGCAAACCATCAATTGATGCCCACGAGCAAATTTTCCTTTTCGGGCAGTGCTCGGGCGTCATGTAATTGCAGAGCACTCTTGAGATAAATGCAATCTTTCAAGACGTGGTCTAGTGTCGAAACAGGCTATTCCTGATCTAATTTCTATTGGTCAAACACTGGCAAGCTATCCTGGCGACACATGTCAGTTCAAGTCCCATGCTGTCGCTAGACACCAACGGGCCTACCACTTCTATTTTATTCGTTTACAATGCAGAGAAGGAGCTTGCTGTTCTGGCGGACTAAGTATGATTCCATTGTAGCGGTGAGGGTTGAATCTAAAACTAGCAAAAGCGGCGCGTCACTGAGCTCGCCAGGCCGACGCTCTGGGTCACAAGGTGTATGCGCACTACCTGACGGTCGGCTCAGCTACCAGCAGGTCCGAGGAAACGCATGCATGGCCGGCTCCCGATCTCGAGAGCGACTCGCAGGTGGGAGGGTTTAGCTGAGCAAACTATCGGTGTTACATGGTGGAAGCGGTGAGTGGGACGAAAACCGACTGACGGGCGCCCCCACAATATCATGGTGGTCGAGCACAGGACGCACACTCGGGCGCGTGTCTCACGTGACCTGTTCATCGCGTTGGCCCTGGCTCTGGGGGGAAAGCCCTCTTTCCCCTTCGGAAAATCTCATGAAAGTCTTGGGGGAATGGGCGGCTGAACGTTCACCCGAAAATACCTTTGTTTGTTCTCGTTTCTTCAGCATTTTCCTATCGTTCTCCAGGAGGAAAAGCCCCCTTCCCCCCTAGAGTGGCCCCTCGCTCAGTGCCCGTTCGACGCCTCCGCCAGTTACGACGTATAACCTCCCGTTACAGAAATCTGGCTCGGGACCCACAATATGGCGAACATTGACGCCCAAGGGGGCTTACACGGTGAGCGGGCATCTGGCCGTATCAAACCACATCTCCTGGAAACACAACAAAAGGTTTCACCCCCTTTTCAACCGGCTGTGCCCAAAGGTAAACTTTGGATCCTATAAAGTAGAATATGACTGAACGGACTAGTTTCTATCATCCTACGTGATTTGAGACTCTGGCATGCGGGAATGCCCAATAAAACGGGCGAACCACGCGTCATGCTTGCTCAGATCCGTAAGTAAGCCTGTACACAATACAAATCGCTTTTGAGAACCTTTGATTAGGTTTCGCACCCTGGTACATGAATCAAAGTGAGTTTACCATTCACGCATCCGATTAATAAAACTGACCTTCATACAAAGCGAAAATGGAGTTCCCGAAAGGTATGGAACACATGCTCCGGCATCCCAACCTAGATATGCCAACCGATTTTGTTGACGGCCTAATCAAATATTTTGGACGCGCGTGCGGAAGTGCGTACCACTTTAGGCAGGTAGAGTCAGACAAACGGGATATTGACTAGCGAAGGTATCCTTGGGCATACACCTTCGAAATGCATACTCCTCTCCAGTCCAAGTACGTGCCGGATAGTATTTGGTGATCAGAGCCCCTATCCAAGGGCATGTAGCGCAGTTGGTAGCGCGCTCGCTTAGCATCTTCCTTTCGAAGCTGCGAGAGGTCTCCGGTTCAAATCCGGACTTGTCCATTTTGCCGTTACTTTCTGTTTCTGATATAAAAAAAAATCGATTTTCTGCGTTTGTGCGTGGCTGTACCGCTTAAACTCCTGCACCCAACAGCCATGACGCGCCGTCGAAGCTTGTTCCTCCCCTCACTCGTCCTTTTAGCCTTGCTTTTTTTACTGAGATCAGGGAGAATATACCCTTCACACACAGGCATGTCTTTTCCCTAGGCATGTTTTGTTTGAACCAACACCTTGGTAGATATCCCAGATCCAATACTATTATTAACAGCTCACCCGGATGATGAATGCATGTTCTTCGCGCCAAGCGTGTTGGCATTGCGGAGAATAGGCAAAGAAGTGAGGGGGTTGTGCTTGAGCGTTGGTCAGTTTTTCTCAGTCACGCGCTTTATTTACTGATTGGTTCAACCAGGTGATGCGGATGGCTTGGGGCGTGTCAGGCAAGACGAACTTGTTCGAAGCTTCGGCGTTCTCGGAGTCGAAAAAGACAAAGTCGGGGTCTTGGATCATCCGTGAGTTGCCCCTTCTGCCAACTGGGATAGACCTGATGAGAGATAGAGAGCTACAAGATGACATTACTCGAATGTGGAACACGAGTTTGATCAGAGATATTGCGGGCGAGTATGTCAAGACACACAGGATCGCATCGGTAAGGGTGATTGCTTATTTAGGCTGATTATTCTAACAAGCGGAATAGGTTGTTACATTTGATCATTATGGCATCTCCTCCCACCCAAACCACATCTCTCTCTATCATGGTGCTCGGCTGCTTCAATCTTCCTCTCCCTATCCCATCCAACTATGGTCCCTTTGTACGACAGGTGTCTTGGCGAAATACACAGGCTACTTCGGTGCTGTTTGGCCTAGCGAAGGAAAAGGAGGTGTAGTGTATGCCTCTGGTGTGAGGGAATATGTGACAGCGTTAAAGGCGATGCGGGAGCATTGGTCTCAGCTGGTCTGGTTCCGATGGTTGT